AATTTGTCTGCAAAGTTTCAACTCAAAACACCCATCAGGTTATTTATTATACTTTTCAGAACATTACAATTTTCATCTCTAAACACATTGTAGCTGTTTTGGTGGCCTGTGTCTTTAATGCTAGTTCTCCCCACCCACCGTTCTCAGGGGCCTGTCAGTGTGTCTTCCTCTCCGTCAGATAAACAGCACAGTGACAGACATGAGGGAGCAGATCTCATGTAATGTTTGTAAGAAATACTTCTGTTAGAGCTTTCCCAATGATTATTTGATGTATTTGCTGTGGAGTTTATTCAAGCTTTTCTGCAACGATGAGTCACACACACACACACACACACACACATTTAACTTTGCACTGTTTTTGCACGGCAAACAGGGCCGGAGTGGGACTCCTTTTCAGCCCTGGAGTTTCAAGCAGACCGGCCCACCTCAGTTCACGACTGACTATATTAAAATAAGGTCATTTCCAATTCAGTTTCTAATTACACTATCACGTCTTTTTCAAGAAAACAGCTGCTTTAGAACTTTAAATGTTCAACAACCTTACAGTTTTATATGTCTTAACAATAAAAATGTAAAAAATAAAATAAAAGAATTACTCAGGTGAGGATCGAACACGGAATGATGACGTTATAATGCAACATGCTTACCACTGGACCACAATGGCGCTGTTACAGTTGTAAAACTCATTCTTGATCACATTTGATGATGACTGATGATCACAGCGAGCCGAACAGATCTTTTAATCCTGGTTGCTTTGCGCACGTCCTGTCTTGTTGATATCATTATACATGTTACTACGGAAACATGTTAATACTCGGCTGTCAATCAATTCAGTGGGTGGGGAAACTGTACTTCTATGTCACTTTGCAATCAGCCTCAACATAGGAGGGATTTAAATCCTATTTTAACATCAGAATTAATAATTCACACTCAATTGCTTCATACTGTTTTTATTTTTACTTTTTCTTACATTTTACGGGTGATAACAGACAAACAAACGTTTCGGCACAAAGCCTTCCTCAGTGTGTGACACATTCTCCAACTCCACCCTTTTATTCCACAGTCAATCACAATGTGCAATTAGTTAAACCGTCACTCTCATTTCATTATCAATAATATGAATAATAGTAACGATCACATTAACGCACCAAACCAAAGAAGTAACTAAAAAACCGCAAGCGCGCAGGACAAACTTCAGTAACTCTGCAAACATCAGAATAAAAAAAAAGAGACTTATTGTGTTTATGTTACTCCAGTATGACTGTGGACACACTATACCATATACACAGTTCTGTAAAAAACAGCTTACAAAAGATGATTTTCATCTGAGGTTCCATTTAAAGGCCTAACTAGGTTAATTACAATAATTAGGCCAGTTAGGGTAATTAGGCAAGTCATTTTTTAACAGTGGTAACTGCTTTTTTTTTTAGCCGAAATAAAGCAAATACGATTTCCCCAGAAGAAAAATGATTAACAAATTCCTTGCTCTGTTAAACTTCATTTGGAAAATATTTGAAAAAGAAAAAGAACATTCATAGGAGGGTGAATCCTTTTGACTTTATATAATCCAGTGCTGGAATACAATAAAACATACATAAAAACTAAAATCCAAATCCAAAATCTAAGTGTAAGTCAATGTATAATAAAGTTGTTGCTGCATTTGTGTTACAAATGTATAACATGATTCTACATAGTTTTCATGTTTCTCTCCAATTATCGTGTGTAATATGAGCCCGCTCAGCTGAAAGGATCGAGCTGTTGTTTGATGTAGATGACATCCTTTACATCTGAATAGAAATCCTGTTTTAAAGCCAATTGGTTTGCAAATGAAGGCACAGCTCTGTCCCTCTGGGAAACTGAAGGTAGTCGAAACATGTCTCAGTTTTCAGCACCTCGATCACCATGAGGCCGCTGCTCCACTTTCTTTAAGACGTCTCTGAATCCTCTAGAGTCACCAGTAATTTAAACACAGATCTTAGAGAAAAGCACAACAGCTGGCCTACAGAAATGCAATATGAAAACGGATGTGAAAGTATTTACAGATATACAGATCTAAGGTGGTTCAGTGGTTAGCACTGTCGCCTCCCTGCAAGAAAGTCGCTGGTTTGAGTCCTGGATGGTTCGGTTGGCATTTCTTTGTGTTCTGTTTGCATGTTCTCTCCGTGTTGGCGTGGGTTTCCTCTGGGTACTCCGGTTTACCCCAAACACATGTGCTATTGGTCAATTGAATAAACTAAATTGCCCGTACTGTATGTGTGTGCGTGAGTGTGTATGGATGTTTCCCAGTACTAAGTTGCAGCTGGAAGGGAATTTGCTGTGGAAAACATATCCTGAATAGGTTGGCGGATCATTCCGCTGTGGCAACCCCTGATGAATAAAGGGACTAAGCCGAAGGAAATTGAATGATCTTTATTTTGTTTTGTTTTTATTTATTTTTATTTACCTAAAGGAGTAGTTCATGCAAAAGTAAAAACTTTGTAATTGTTTACTCACACTTGAGTGGCTTTTTATGAATTTCTTTCTTCTGTTGAACACAAAAGACATTCTGAAGAATGTTGGGGAAAAGCAGACGCTGATATCCATAGTAGGAGCACAAAATAATAAAAAATCAATGGCTTTTGTTTTACAACATTCTATTAAATATCTTCTTTTGTGTTCAACAGAAAAAAGAAAATTGGAGGATGAATAGACTAAATGATGACTAACTGTCCCTTTAAACAAACAAATATGCAGTTGAAGTCAGAATTATTAGCCCCCTTCCATTATTTTTCTTCTTTTTAAAATATAATCCAAATAATGTTTAATAGAGCAAGGAAATTTTCACAGTATGTCTGATAATATTTTTTCTTCTCGAGAAAGGCTTATTTGTTTTATTTCGGCTAGAATAAAAGCAGTTTTTATTTTTTTAAACACCATTTTAGGGACAAAATTATTAGCCCCTTTAAGCAAATTTTTTCCCTCAATAATCTACAGAATAAACCACTGTTATACAATAACTTGCCTAATTACCCTAACCTGCCTAGTTAACCAGATTAACCTAGTTAAGCCTTTAAATGTCACTTTATGCTGCATAGAAGTGTCTTATTTACTGTCATCATTTACTGTTATTAGAGATGAGTCATTAAAACTATTATGTGTAGAAATGTGTTGAAAAAATCTTTTCTCCGTTAAACAGAAATTGCAGAAAAAATAAGCAAGCGGTCTAATAATTTAGGAGGGGGGGGAGTAATAATTCTGACATCAACTGTATATATATTCAAAATTACAGATCTGCTTTTTATCACATGATTATTTATATATCGGTATAGTTCATGCAAAAATGAAAATTTCCTAATCGTTTAATCACACTCAAGTATTTCTTGACCTTTTATGAATTTCTTTCTTCTGTTGAACACAAAATAAGATTCAATGCTGGAAAAACTACAATGAAATACTAAGAAAATCAATTTTTACAACATTCGTCTAAATATCTTCTTTTGTGTTCAACAGAAAAAAGAAACTTGGAGGATGAATGGTCATAAATAATGACAGAGTTTTTTTTTTTTTTGGGGGGGGGGGGTGAACTATCCCTTTAATAAATAAGTTTAATAAAGATTGATCTGAAATCCCAAATCACAGTGAATATTTAAAAATCAAAATAAATTTAATAATAAAAATAATAATAATATCTCATTCAGCTTAATTACTGTAATCATAGGAAAGTAAAGTTAACCATTTTTAACCAGTGTAATTTAATTCAAGCTGAATAACTTTAATTAATGCAGCCTGTGAAAGACGAGAGCTGGAGATCTGTTTAAAGAATAATAATAATAATAATAATAATAATAATAATAATAATAATAATAATTATAATATATATATATATACATACACATACACAGTGCTCAGCATAATTGAGTACACCTCATTTTGAAAATCAATATTTGTCTCCATTTCTCAGTGAATATAGGCAATGTATTTTGGTGCGTTTAAACAAAACCGATTTACTAAACAGATATATTTATTAAAATAATATTTTAGTCACCACAATTACAATACAATTAAATTCAAGCAAAATATTGCAAAAATAAATTGCAAAGACAATTTTATTAATATTTTTTTTGCTTCTCTTGATTTTTCCTCTTTGTTTTATCACGTGCATTTATTATTCATCTAGTTCACGCAAAAATGAACATTTCCTATTCGTTGGCTCACACTTGAGTGGACTTTTTCAGATATTTTTTAACACAAAACAAGATATTCTGAAGATTACTAAAAAAATTACTATGAAATAATAAGAGAATCAATGGCTTTTTTTTTTTTTTTTTTTTTTTTTTACATTTTTTAAAAACATTCTATTAAATATCTTATTTTGTGTTCAATAGTAAAAAGAAACTTGGAGGATAAATGACTAAATCGGGGTGTTCCTGAGATCTACCTTAATGCAGAATTTAGCTTCATCCCTAATCAAACACAATTAAACCAACTTGAAGGAGCACTTGGTAATTAAAATCATGTGTGTTTGATCAAGGTTGCAGCTAAAATCCGCCCGAAGGAATGAAATAAGTTTAACAAAGATAGACCAGAAATCCTAAATCACATCAATGAATATTTTTTAAATAAACAAATGAATAAAGGTTTATTTATAAATTATTTATGTTATTAACTTAAATAACTGTAGGATGATCTGTCAAAGGAAAGTAATCATTTTAATCCCATATAATTTAAGACCTTAAATCAATGCAGTCTCTGAAAGAGGAGAGCTGAAAAAAATATAGTTTTTTTTATTTATTTATTCATGTATTCATTCATTCATTCATTTATTTTTACTATGGATGCTTTCCTTATTAATATTAATTGGATTATTCAGCTGTTGCTTGGTAACTTTCTCGCAGCGTCCTGTTAGATAATCTTATGAAATATTCATAGTTCTATCCAATGCAACGGCAGGATTCCCTTCTTCCTAGAGCCCGCCTACTAACTGGCACATTTCCACCAATCAGATCGTCCTGCAGGGTGGACGTGTTGTGTTACGTAATTAATATTCATAAGCCGAGCCTTTAATTCTCCCCGTGCTCCTCTGTTTGGTTGTGTCCGCTGGAGTGCGCTGAGTTCAGAGCGAAGAAACTGCTCTGAAAAGTCAATGGATTTGTATGCCGCAACACTGGACTATTGGTTTATCATTTAAACACAACAACTTATCTGTTATTCATGCGTCAGTGGAGTGATTTCATTACTGACATTTTGCTTTTTTGGCTACTCGAGCGATGCGGTTACCGGCTTTACCTCAGCTGATGAGGATGATTTAACGTTACTGACGCGTGATTGACTGTAAACAAACCGACGTGCCTTTAAAACGTTTGCGAAAGGATTTACTTTTACAGGTAAGAATTTTTAAAACAATCACATTTTTAACATCTTTCCAACAAATATGGCATGACAGCACGCTTATTATCATATTTTTGTACATGTACTATTGTAGAACTACTAATTATATTTTTAGTTAGTCTTATGCGGAGATATAAATATAATGTATTCTGATTTATCGTGACTATGACCACTGTAACGATAACAGTTGTTGTTACATTTGTTTTCGCTGACTTATAAACCTGTAGTTAGGTAAACTTTAGTAGTTAGGTTTAGTTTTTTAGGTATGAACAATTAAATTTTCATTGTTGTATTTTGCTTTCTGTATTTTTCCTTACAATATATAGTATTTTTGAAGATTACTATAGTAAAGTACTTGAACTAATCTGTTGTGGTAATTTCATAGTTGCTGTGTGATTATACAGCTGTAGTAAAACAAGTTTTCTACAACTGTAAGGTTATAGAAAATTATACTACAATACAAATCACACCACAGTTTACTGTAGTAAAAACTAAAGTATACTACAATATTTATTACAGGTTGTCAGTTTACTATAGTTTATACTTCATTATGATGTAGCATTCATTCACAAAGTGTTGTAAACATTTTAATATTTACAATATAAGTGTATGTACAGTATATACATCACTTTACTATAGTATAGTTCAAAAACACTGTAGTATTTTATTAATGTGGGCTTGTAATTATTATAGTAATGACAACCTGATGTGGCTTGAGCCATGTTTATCTGCGGTACATGTAAATAATCACATTGTAAAGCAAAATATTAAAGGATTTCTATGTTTGCATGGATGTGAGCTCCGGATACATCTGTACGAGACCATTAGGATGCTGAAAATCCTGTCCTTCGGGGAAGAGGATGTGATGACAGGATTATTATTTAATTTATCAGGTGCTCGGCCCCATTGTGTTGAGTCTGTTGGACTAGTTTGACATACAGTAGGCCGGCACTAACAAGACCTTATGGGACTTGTACTTTCACACAATTGACCATTTCGTGTGGTAGCACTTGCTCACCGTTTTCAGAGTGCATGGTGATTTTTAAAGTGGGTTTTATATTCACACATTTGTTCAGTGACAACTTGTAACAGTCCCTTTATTGTTTACTATTATAATTAAGTTTAATAAACAAAACTGTGGTACAATTGTAGTAAGGAGATTTTACTACTTACAATTTTGCTTCAGAACTGTGTTTATTATATTATTCTTGCCCTATATTGTTTATTAAACTATTGCTACTTTGAATATTCGGTCAGCAATAGCATGCAAGTATGACTTAAACAACATTAGCACTATTTAATTGACTGTCAACAATGTTGTACGTCTTTGGCTGCTAATGTGACTTCCCTATTTAGAATTTGCAAAGAATACTTTTCTGAAAATATAATATTAAGGAGAAAGTCTGATTGTGCAAATGTGAAACCAACTTTACCCCAATTGTGCATACAGTGCTCAGCATATACGAGTACACCCCATTTTGAAAATGAATATTTTTATGCATTTCTCAGTGAATATGGGTAATATATATTGGTGTATTTGAGCAAAATAGATTTATTAAACAGATATATTTATTAAAATAATATTTTTGTCACAGAACATCTTTAGAAATTACAAAATAATACATTTAAATGCTTGCAAAATATTGCAAAAAAAAATTACAACCTACAACATTTAAACAAAATTGTATATATTTTTTGTTTCTCTTGATTTTTGCTTTTTTTATTTTTATTTTTTTTATTTTACCGAATATTTTTCTATAACATAAATTTGGGCTACTAGTTTTGAACCATTATTGTAAGTCATTTAGTAAGATTAGTTCTAGATTTGGCTTCAGTAAACTAATGTACATGCACAAATTTAATATTGTAAAACATCCTATAGAAAATAATCATTTGAATGAGAGATTTGTGGGGGGGGGGGGGTGTGTGGGGGAAGTGTACTTATATTCTGAGCACTGTATATGTATTTGGTTTGCAGTGATCCTCCTTAACTGTTGAGTAGATGTGGTAAACTTTAGACTGCAGTGCTTTTGCAAATATTGATCAACTGTCTTCATCTTATCAATGAGCTGATTTGTGACTATCTTTTGTTTTTTGCAAGAATATTGGCTGGTTTAATCTTATGTTTTAGCTGCTCTAAGCTATAAACAACATTGGGGGTCAGTTAGTTTTCGCACATCCAGACTTTCAACATCTAAATATAATTTCAGAAAAGTATTTTTTGCAAATTATAAATCAGAGATGCTCAAACTAGGGCCGTGGGCCGCAGTTGACCCATGGTAATTTTTGATTTGCCCCACCATCCCATCTGAGAAAAAAAGGAGAATGATGGGGAACGCTGGCTTAATTTCAGTGGAACATATTTTGTTTTTTTTTTTGGGTTCCAAAAAAGCAAGTTGCAATTAAATGTTTTAATAAAAAAGTTGTAAATGAGTCAGATTTTTAAAAATGTAAATACTGTCTCTCAACGGATAGAGGACAATGCACAAAACATTGCTCCCAGATCAATGCAAATCTTGACTTGTGTATTCCACATTGAACTTCATTGTGTAATAAATGGGATTCTTTGTTTTTACTGTAATAGGTTGATTATATATTTTTGGTTATAATGCATTAGTTTATAAAGAAATATTTTCTTTATAATCTTTTCTGTAATTTTTAGCAACTTTAATGTAATACAGTTTGCTAAATTCTGGCCCACACCCCTCAATTAAGTTTGGTTTTCACCCTTAATAAGAAAGCAATTGGGCAACCCTGTTCTAAAAATAAAATAATAAATGTTATTTATGATGCACTTTTCTTAAAATCAAAGTTCCAAATAGGGAAATCATATTAGTACTCTATGATGACTATCAAAGTACAACATTGTTCACAGTTAATTACATAGTGCTAATGTTGTTTTAAGTCATTGGATGGAATTTTCAGACAGAATATTCAAAGCATGGTAAACAATACTGTGAACGTGTCTCAAGTTGTCACATTGTTGAAAAGTGAGCACTCGCATTTTAGTCAACTACAGCTGTAACACACATATTACTCACATTATGCATTGAAGAGAGATGTTTTTATTGATCACTATATATTTTTATTAATTGTATTTCTACAAGGGTCAAAATATGGGATATATGTAAACAACATTCAGAAAAAAAAAACTTTTCTGAAATTGTGTGCTATTTTATATCAAGCATCTTTCAGCATTGCTGAAAGTAGTTCCTTAGATTTAGCATGTTATATCTTTCTTTTTCTCTCCAGGTGAATCTCATACTGCCTATAATATTGCCTATACTGTACATACTGTATTTAATATTTAGGTCTCAACTCTTTGGAGGCCATTTCATCAATATGAGCCCTATCTCCAAATATGATTTCATTACCTTAGCAGTGTGTTTGCAATCATTATCATGCTGAAAAATTTTACTATTGCAACTTAGGTGCTGTTGGCGCAGTGGGTCGTGCATTTGCCTCCCAGCATGAAGGTCGCTGGTTCGAGCATCGGCTGGGTCAGTTGGCATTTCTGTGTGGAGGTTGCATGTTCTCCCCATGTTTGCGTGGGTTTTCTCTGGTTGCTTCAGTTTCAGTTTCAAGACATGCACTATAGGCGAACTGGGTAGGCTTAATTGGACATAGTGTATGAGTGTGAGCTGCAGTTGGAAGGGCATCCGCTGTGTGAAACATAAGTTTGAGTAGTTGGTGGTTCATTCCGCTGTGGCAACCTCTGAAATAGAGACTAAACCATGCAAAAATAATGAATGATTGAGTATTTAGAAAAATTTTACTGTTCAAAAACAAACTTCGATTTTTATTTAAGGGTAAAAAAGTCAAAATGAAAGCTCATTAAGCTTAATATGTATAGCTTTTGCGTTTTTTAAAATAATACTTTTATACATAAATAATACCCTGATGATTAATATATAGTTGGTTTTATATAGTTATAATAAGCAAAAAAAAGTGTTTAATTTTTATCCGAGTAATTGAATAAATTAATTGGCCAACTAATTGATTATTAAAATAGTCTTAGTGTAAATGGCAAGAAATGGCAATGGAGATGTTTGTGATTCCTTTGTATTTTCCAATCATTTTAGTTCTGGTTATTTGATGTTTTAAGCAAATATTGAGTTTTTAAAGTGGTTTTTATGTTTGCTCTATATCCATATATTACATTGCGTCTTATTGGTTAATAGTGGCTTTCTTTAGTCAGATATTGTTCGGTAATGACCTCAGAATTGTTAGTTGCTGCCCTAGTCACAGCCATCACAAGCCATTTTAAAATGCTGATTTACAGTCACTAATATAATGTGCTCATGTGCTCATAACAATACATCGTGATGAATAATATGTATTAGTCTTATTAAATTCTGCTTTACTATTTTGTTAAACGCCAAAGTGCGAACGTGAGAATAATATAAAACCCCTTTTTTTCCAATGTAAGAAAGAAGTATTCCTGTTGTTTGAAACTGTGTTTGTAAGTCGTAACTCCTGGGGAAAGATCTGCCTGTGGAGTTTGAGTTGACTTTGCCTGGAGTGTCACTTGGAGAGTTTATTGTTGCTTTGTGTTGAAGGAGATTATTGAAGTGTTTGAAGAGCTACCTGGAAACCAGCCCTCAGAGTTAGTCACATCCAGACGCTCTGCGAACTGATAACCTCTCCAATCCAGGAATAGTGTTCGTTAAAAACAAGACCTACAGCATAACAAAGCTGTGATTTTTAAGGCTTTAATCGATCAGGTTAATGGATAGAATGAGCTTGCTGCAAAAGGGCATCACTTTTCTGTGTTTTGCCTTTTTCTGTCGACAAAGACTTTTGAGAGAAATGACTTTTTGAAGAACAAAGATTAATCTGACTATGACCCCATAACCTATAAAAGCCTCAGGCTGTCGACACACGACACAAAGATTATTCTATTTATTTTTTTATTAGTAGTGCTTTTGCCAAGTCAAGCCTCTGCACACTATTTTGTGCAGATAGAGATTTAAATAAACCCCATGATTTGAATGAA